AAGGCCGCACCTGCTGCACCGGTGCCACCGAAGGCTGCACCTGCTGCACCGGAGCCACCGAAGGCTGCACCTGCTGCACCGGTGCCACCGAAGGCTGCACCTGCTGCACCGGCGCCACCGAAGGCTGCAACTGCTGCACCGGTGCCACCGAAGGCCGCACCTGCTGCACCGGCGCCACGGAAGGCCGTGCCTGCTGGAACTTTTTCTTCATCGAATTCGTATTTTACGAGTGGTGGCTTGGGTGTTGAACCTACTAGGACACGTGGTGATGGCAGACGCAGCGGAGACCGTGGGTATCACCGCGAGGCGAGTGGTGGTGAGCCTACTCGACGCATGGGAAGGCCAACAACTTCGATTACGGGAGATAAGCGTCTTTCTCTTAATGATATTGTTGAGGATGTGGGACAGATAAAGCTGGTGTTTGCTCAGCGTGGGACGGCGGGGTCTGTTGCCTCTGCTCCTGCTCCTCACACTGTTGCACCGCCTGTGCCACCAACTCCACCGCCACCGCCACCGCCACCGCCGCAAGCTGCAGCGACTTCCTTGCCGGCATCTACTCCGTCTGCGGGCGATGCAAGCGGCAGGCGTCCTGCAGTCCCCGTGGGAGCTTCACTGGAGGTTGAGGATGAAATTTTTTTTACTATTGCACCGCGGAGATCGGAAGAGAGCCCTCGGGAGGATGCCTGGGCAAAGAGCGTCGGTTTTGCTGTGGATGAGGAGATCGAGAATGCTCGTGCAACGCGGCCGCTTCTGCGCTCTGCCAAAGCTGCACAGGAGACGAGTGCGAAGCTTAGACTGGGTGTCGTGCCGGACAAGGAGGAGCCCGTGGTGGACGCTACCGTCGCCAAGCAAAACCTAAAGCCCCTCCCTGAGAAGGAAGCCGCGGGGATCGAGCGTCACGAAATTCCCGATGGCGTCAGCGAGAGGGCCAGTGTTGCACAGATGACGGGCATGAAGGACGCCTCCGAGGAGGGAGAACAAACAGAGCCTTCCGCCTCGACGACTGCCTCGGAAGGGAAGGAGGAGGGGTCATCACCTGTTTCACCGAAGGGAACTGTAACTTCAGCAAGAGATAACGCGACGACGACGACGACGCCGGTGGAGCAGCCGCCGCTGGCTCCATGGACGTCGATCACAGAGCCAGAAGATGGGGAAAACACGCCTTGGGCGAAAGTGTCTTTTGAGAGCGATGGCTCACCGGTGGCGACCATCCTCTTAGAGAGCCAACCGCCGCATCTCATGTCGCTTGTGAAGTTTTTGCATCAGACCATTACGGCCATTGACGACCAGCACACAGCTGCGGGAACAACTACGGAGGTGCGGCTCACGACGTTCCCTACACTGGGCTTCTTCAACGCTAGTCACGGCCCGCTGGAGTCGGCGTCTGAGGAGCGTATGGAGTTGCTTCGGGCCAAGCAGCGTCTCTTTGCACGCATGGAGAGTGCATCCAACCGAATTCGCTTCGTCGCGGTTGTCCACGGCGGTGCTATTGAGGACTTTGGCGCGGAATTGTTCCTGGCGTGCTCGCACCGGGAGTTGCTTGGCACCACCCAGGCGACTTTTGGGTTTCCGTCTATTCAGCTTGGGGATTTTCCTGCGGCGGCAACCGTGCGACGGCTGGGGTATTTCTACGGCGCACAGCGCACTCTTGAGATGGCACCGAAGTTTCATGAGTACAGTGTAGAGAGCGTCATGGAGGTTGGCCTTCTCCGCGGCAGTTCTCCCTTGCCGGCTCCTTCGTTTCTGCTTCGCCTCGAGCGCGCCATGCTCGCCCTTCTTTCTCGTCCCACGCAGAAGGAACTGCTGCTTCGTAAGCTCTTCTTCACCGGCGGCTTTGAGACATCCACGGCCATGGTGGGCCCTAATCCACTCCTGCGTGCGTGGGGACGGTATGCCATGGCCGCTCTTGTGCAGGGGCATGGCGCCGGCAGCGGTGACGCGGCAGCGACGCTCGCACGGGAAACGAAGTCGGAGCGCATCTTCAGTGAGATGGTCTGCACCACTCCCGCCATTAACGCGGCCAACGTGTACACGCTGGGGCGTGAAATGAAACGCCGCGTTCTTCCTTTGTTGCCCAGTCAACGCTTCGTGACCTTCCGCGGGGAGGAGATGCGGTACTGGGATGAAAAAATGGAGGCTGTGTCCTCTTCCAAGGACGACTGCGCGGCCGTCTTGCTGGACTGCTCACAGCGGTCCTTTGCGGCAACCGCGCAGATGGTGCACGTGCGCCAGGACCTGTTGAGGGGCGTCAATGTAGTTCTTATTGGCGAAGAGCACGTTGCACGTCCGATCGTCGCAACGCTGCCATGCAGTGTTGTCGTGTCGTGTGCCTCGCCGTATCGCGTTTCTGCTCTTGGAACGCTGCAGGAGGTTCGCCTCTTTTCGCAGGAGAGCTGTCCCGCCGAGGCGTCTGCCGCCGCCCTTAACGCGGCGCTCACGTATTTGCAGGCACAAGGGAACCCATATGTGGTGTGCCGTGGGTCGTGCTCCAAGCGGCTCATTGCGGCTCTGGCGACGGAGGCCTGTCGACTCACGCAGCGGTGTGATGTGGCGTGCATTGAGCGCGCGGCCACGGAGGTGCTTGGCCTCCTCGTGGGGCCGTTTCACCTGATTGACTACTTTGGCCCGGCAGCGGTTCGGCGAATGCTGGACGACACCAAGGACATGAACGCACAGGGCAATCCCCTGTTGGTCGATTGTCTGCCTGCGATCGCCCATCATGCACTGCAGGCCATGAGCACCGACGGCTACTTGGGCGTCAATTCACGTCGTGGGGGCTTCTTCTTGTATCGCGCAGACGGTACGACGATCGCACCCAACGCCGAGGTGCCGCGCCTGTACTTTTCTCGCCCACTCTCCGACACCGAGGTGGCAGATCGGCTGCTTGCAGTTGTGGTCAACGAATGCTGCGAGCTTATTCTCTCGGGCGCCGTGCGGAGCGCCACAGACGCGAACGCCTTGACGGTCGCCGCGATCGGGTTTCGTGAGACGACTGGAGGCGCCCTCGCGCTGGCCGACAGAGCCGGCATTTCCGCACTCGTGCAGAAGATGGAGGAGCTGGCAAACTGGCACGGCCCGCACCTGCGTCCCTCATCCCTGCTGCGGTGCATGGCGCACTCCAAAGTGTCCTTCGCCGCCTTGTCGGACGCCATGGTGCAGTCGGCACGCATGTGATCCTTCGTGGGGGTGCCCACCGGCCCTGGCACACATCCCTCGTTTGCCGCACCTTTTTCCGTTTCATGCCTGGGCGAGGTATGGCATGGCGCAAGTTGCTTTTACTTTGTCTCGTGTGTCTGTGCGTGTGTGTCTGTCTGTCGGTTTCGAAACATGTTTTACTCTTTTGTTTCTTCTGCTCGTGTCTGTGGGCTTGACGGCGAGAGAGCAAGAAAAAACGAGTAGCGAACACGTGTGGGCGGGGGCGTGAAATGTGTGGAAGAATGCCTCCGACGCCGTTTTGGGGTTCCTCCGCCAATCGTTCTCTGCGGCTGTGAGGCATGCGTGTGTCTGCGGGTCTGCCTCCCTTCTTTTCC